GGGAAAACGGCTTCTGGAACCGCGGCATATCAGCCTGCGCCGTCTGCGATGGCGCTGCCCCTATTTTCCGTAACAAGCCCTTGGCCGTGATCGGAGGTGGCGATTCTGCTATGGAGGAAGCTACTTTCTTAACCAAATACGGGTCAAAAGTGTACATAATTCACAGGAGAGATGAATTTAGGGCTTCAAAGATTATGCAGAATAGGGCCTTAAATAATCCTAAGATTGAAGTGCTCTGGAACTCTGTCGTGGTAGAGGCTTTTGGAGAGAAGATTCTGGGTGGACTGAAGGTGAAGAATGTGCTTACTGGGAACGTCTCAGATTTGAAGGTTTCGGGTTTGTTTTTCGCTATAGGGCATGAACCAGCAACAAAGTTCCTGAATGGGCAACTGGAGTTGGATTCAGATGGATACATTTTGACTAATCCCGGGACAACTATAACCAGTGTCAAAGGTGTTTTTGCAGCTGGAGATGTTCAGGATAAGAAGTATAGGCAGGCTGTCACTGCTGCTGGCTCAGGTGAGTGCCCTACAAATTGGTATTTTTGTCATTGAGAGCTCACTGACTGTTTGTCTGATATATTAAATGTGATTTACTATGTGGATTAATTCAGCGTTTTACTACATGATGAATATTGAATGTCACTGTAGAAACATAACATTCCTTGAAGTTGTGAATAATCTTAGATTCAAGTTAGCTTAGTATATGCTTCTCGGCTGCAATCTTTGGCTGTCTCAGTTGTTTGAATGGAGCTAATAGTAATGTGCATTTCCCCTTTATTAGTCGAACCTCAGAAGTCTGCTGATTTCAAAATTGTCATTCCTAGCTCCTTTCTCAATTCTATCATTCGGGTGTGCACTGACAATAAGCCTTTAGCCTAAGCTTTTCTTGAAGAAAGTAGATGCACAAAGGTTATGCTTTTGGAAAGAAAAACAATTCCATCTTGGTTAACCTTAGTATACATTAGTTTAGTATTTGTGATTATAGTTTTTTAAGTTCATGTTACTCTATACTAAGTTATCTGTTGCTTTTGTTTGATTTGGTTGATGATGATGATTTCACTAAGGCAGTGATAGAAGCAAGAGAATATGGAAATGTTCAAAGTTTGGCAGTTGTGTAGTAAACTAGTAATTGCATGATACTATGATCAGATGATTTTAGTCAAACAAAAACTTGTGACAGTAAAAGATATGTGCAGGGAACACCGGAACAGGTAGTCTCTCTTTAATTCCGTGAAAGTTAAAGATGTCAATGCATGTGCATGTGCACATGATACATTAACTATGCTTTCAGATATTTAGAATTTCTCAAACTGTTATGTTTTGTTGGTATTTAATCAGCAATAGACAGGCAGATAAAAATTCTAACATGATCATAGCTGATATAGAACTTAAAACTTGATCAACCACCAAAATCATCAGAGCCTGTCTTTGCCTTGATCTTTTCTGCTGTTCATTTATTTTTTCCTTCTGGTCTGTATGGGCTCCCTTTTCACCTAAGGTGCAAGTGGAGGGTGATATGAGCCCAATGAGACTTGCCGTTCAACCCAATATCAAATGCTCAGACCACCCTAGCGCTCATGAATCTGAAGGGGAAATGGCTTGCTATCTTCCTAGTCGACTGTCGCAAATCTCATGAAGTGCTCCCACCAACTCTTCGGTAGCTTGCAAGTGAGTAATGTTTTTGTATGAGACACCCAAGAGGACCCCTAGCTATACTGAGGGAGAAGAAATCTCTCATACATTCAAATAGCTAAAAGTGTTTACAAGGTCTGAGTCTGGGGGTATTTATAACCCCATTTAGGTACAAGTCCTTAAAACAGAAGAGTACAAACCAACAAAGCATAATAAAAAGGGAATATTCTCTGAATCCTGCAAACGGTTGTCTATAGGATAAAAGCAATGGGTTGGTCTCATGGGTTTAGCAACACTGCCACTGCAATCCACTACAAAAGTGTGCATTCTGCCTCAATTCCATGGGCTACACTCACGGGTCCCTTGAACCCGCCACTCCACCCCGTTGCTTCTTCTCAATTCTGTCTAAAATCCGCAACTGTGCACTAGCAGCAACTCCAAGTATGATTTTGAGCTTGATAAAGTTTGAATCTTGGAAAACTCAAAATATAAGAGTTGTAGAGCATTCCCTTAACTTTCTATAGTATAAAAATGAGTTAGATATCGTCAAAATACCCAAGGTGCGCAAAACTGTCCCAGTGGGACTGCATGGCAGGTTTAATAGTCCTGTCTCCAAACCCATTGCTTGCTGCCAAAAAGTGGCAGGATCTATTCACAGGGCTTCTAAACCCGTTGCTGCTACTGCTCAACTCCAGAATAGCAAAATTAAACATCCTTGAACATTCTTCCTTAGTCTGGAACTTCTCAACCCCCTTAGCAAACTATTTTATCCATTCCCTTTGAATGTAAGCATTGAGAGCTTTTTGTAACCTTCTTTCCTTCAACCTTGTCATCGGGCTGTTGGGGAGTGCAAGTGGGTCTCCAACTTGATGATCTTGCTTTGTGCCATCATCCCCTTCTTCAAAAGGACTTGACCTCAAATCCAGGCCGTCATAAGGAGTAAGATCAGCCACATTGAAGGTCGTAGAAACATCATACTTGCCACCAAGGTCTAGCTTGTAAGCATTGTTATTAATTTTCACAACAACCTCAAATAGTCAAATGGACCAGAGGGGGTGGCCATCTATCCATTTTGAACATATAAATGAAGATTTTTTTCAACTATTACTTATGTGCTGCCCAAAAGTTTTCAGATGGCAGTGTGTTTAGTTTCTATTTATTTGGTTGTTAAGTTTATTTGCAAACAATATATTGAGATTTCTGCTTTCTCTTTTTCTGCAAGAAGTATTGAAGTGTCTGAATGATTGGATTGGTATGACCAAACTTGTAGAGTTAATTGGTGGTGCCGAAAGGTGTATATCATTCAGAAACAAGACTGGCATTAGAAAATATTCACATTTGCCATCCATTGCTAATCATTTTTTCCTGCAAATTCCATTATTATAATTCTTGACAATGTTAGATGTGCTTTTACATATTTGTGGGCTCAACTGTTTGCCTTCCTTAGATGGTGCAATAAGTAACTTAAAAAAACTAAAATTTCAAAATCTAAAGATTTCATACCAATCATACAATCAATGATGTAAAAGAATAAAAATGATACATACAATAGCCAAAAAAGTGAAGAACAATTTCAGCCCTGGCAGTGCCAGGATTGTGACCTTAGTGAACCCATGTTGAGGGAGACTGGTTAGGTTTTATCTTACGAAACACTATGTTTTAGACTTCTAATAGTTGTGATGCAATCTTTTGGATATATGTGTGTGAACACATCCGTGATGTATGAATGTATGTATATATATTGATTGATTGTGGCTGGTTTCTCAACTCGTTTTTTGGGGAATTATGCAGGATGCATGGCAGCATTAGATGCAGAACATTACCTTCAAGAAATTGGAGCACAAGATGGAAAGAGTGATTGATGACCCTGACTATTCTTCCTCACAAGTATTATATGTATAGATAAGAGGTGAAAATGATTTTCATGCTTAATCTCCACTTACTAGTATTGAGAAATCTGAAGTTTTTTATGTTCCTCATTCAATTCAGATGACATTGATCAAATGTGAACCATACATCTGATTGAATGCAATAACTATGGCTCTAGTGTTCAAATAGAGAATAAGATTCACTGTAAATTTCTAGACATCCCAAGCTATATATCCCCTTTGTTGCCTTGGGAGAGTTGATATGCTTGCTAAGAGAGTATTCTGAGGACGAAATCATGGTTTTGCACCTACGTGTTTACATTGAGAACATTAGATTCGTGGGAAGATTCTACTAGTAAATATACAATGAAGTGAACATTTTGGAGAATATTTTTAGTAGAGTTCAATGGCAGTTGGTCTCTGTAATTAAACAATTAATTCAGGTACTTAAATATGTAATCAGATAAACCTAAACAACAGCCGTCTTAGCTCAGTGGTAGAGCGCGTGGCTTTTAACCACGTGGTCGTGGGTTCGATCCCCACAGACGGCGTTATTTGTATTTTTTCAGCCCTGCCATGGTTTATGTCTTGGACACTTCGTTCGCAATTACAGCATGAGTTCTTTCTAATCTACTTTAGTAATTTCATTTTATACAATTTTTAAGGTTAATGAATTCTATCATTAATCAGAACCAGCAATCACCATAGTCTACCAATGTGACTACATTTATAAATGAATCCAAAGAACAAACTCAAAATTTGTTTATTCATATTATAATCTAAAACCTTAATTGAGAAAACATAAAATTTCTACCCATGAATGATTGAAACTCTAGAGTTTCTAATTGAAAATGACATTTTATCCAACTTTGAACATTAAAAAAAAAAAAATCTTATTTTTGACTATCAATCAAAAGTGATCAGTAATTAAAATGAATGTTTAAAGTGATCATTTTGATTTATAATTTTAACTTTTTAAGTGAGGTTCACTTTTGAGGGTTGGGTCAAAGTTGATTTGAGTTCTTATGTTTAATTTGATACGGAGTATATTATAACTTATAAGTTTAAAATGGATAATGAATGAGAAATTAATGTATCAATTGAGTTAAAGAAGTCTGACATTGAAAAGGGATGTGATAGGGTTAATTCATCAAGTGTATACAATGTGTATGTATAATGTGTGAGACATAGAGTGTTGATCCCCCAAAATGGCTCAAAGAATCCTTGTTTTATTCAATCTTAATTTGTAGAGAAGATGGGAGGAAAATAGGAGTGTTGTCTTGAGAGAATGTTGTAGAGGAGAAGCCCCCTTTAAATGAAGGGTTAGACCCCTTATATAGGCCTGCCCTTGACCCGTACCTAAAACTGAATAGGCCTATAAAAAGTGTAAGGTGGTATACCTGGTGTATTTCCTATCAGATGCTAGTTTGCATTAGTATATATAGGATATAACTTTTTTAAAATAAATAAATAAAATTAATGTATATAAACATAATAATAAGAAGTTAAAAAAAGAAGAGAGTGCATCATCCATCTTGGTTGATGATACCAAATGTTGGCATCTTCTTCATGATACAATTAGTCCATAAATGCCAGTAAAAGTGCAAACAGATACAATACGTAGTAAAAGTACAAACAAGTCTTTGAGTTGAACTCCTTTACAAGAAGGAAATTTATTCCTAATATTTTCACATCATTATTTAACCACAAGCACACACATTGGTGATGACCATTGATCATTTGAATGGAACATAGGCCCGGCCAGAGAGAGATGAGAATGGCTATGGCTTGGTGACATCCTTGTTGGATCTGTTGTATTTCATGTGGCTATTCACCAGCTGCCCAGCTGCAATGGCAGACATAAGGGAAAGCTCTCCAGCAAGAACTGCACCCGCCACCACGGTTGCCAACAGCCTTGCATTCGACCCGGGGGCCTCTCTGTTAGCCCCCTTCACTCCCAATAAGTTCAAGCAGGCGGCCTGGGATGCGAGCTGAGTCCCACCACCAACCGTTCCCACCTCGATGGAAGGCATGGTCACGGAGACATGAAGGTCCTTGCCATCGTTCACCGCCTCCATCATGGTGATGCAGTGAGAGCTCTCCACATTCTGAGCCGGGTCCTGGCCCGTGGCTAGGTACACAGCCGACACGATGTTGCTTGCGTGGGCATTGAAGCCACCCAGAGCCCCGGCCATGGCTGAGCCAGTGAGGTTCTTCAGCATGTTCAGCTCCACCAGGGATGCCACATTAGTCTTCAAGATTTTCTTCACCACCTCTTCCTTGATAGTTGCTTCACACACAACTGACTTGCCTCTCCCCTCGATCCAGTTCACTGCTGCTGGCTTCTTGTCCGAGCAAAAGTTCCCTGGTCATTTCATAAATGTACAATCCAACTATCAGCTTAGACTTTTAGTTAAGATGGAACACATGCTTCAATTATGAGAGGAAGTGAGCGGGGCGTACCAGATATGCCAAGGACATCCATGTCGGGGTATTTATCCTGGAGTAAATCAAGAACGTTTTGCACACCCTTGGAGACCATGTTCATACCCATAGCGTCACCAGTACTGCAGCTAAACCTCATGTACAGATTTTTCCCAGCTATGGCACATTGGATGCTTTGCAATCTCCCAAATCTGCTTGATCTGCAGGTATCAAACAAAACCATTTAATGCTTAGAATATATATGCTAAACTATATATACCATAGAAATGTTACTATCCAATGTTATTCTCCCAAGTTTTCTACATGAAACATAAAAAAAGGGCAGGTGGAATAGCAAAACCATATGTAAATATGACTGGGGAGGAGTCAAATAGGCCTTCTAAATTTGATCAAAATAGCAATTAAGCTATACAATTCAAAAAAATTCCAATTAAATCCTTAAACTTATATATAAAAAAAAAAAACAATTATGTCTATAAAAAAAATATTAAAAAAAAAAAGCAATTATGTCTATTTGACCTCTTATTGCTGGTTGAGAACAAGTAAACATCCCCTCATTTTTTCTTTTAAATTTATTATTATTATTATTATTATTATTGTTGTTGTTGTTGTTGTTGTTGTAACAAAGAGCTCTTTGTCATATGTAGAGTTGTCGAAATGGGCCCAACTCGACAAGCTAGGTCCGTTTAACCCAGTTTTAGGTGAGTTAGGTTAAAACTTTTTAGCCCGTGAGTTAGCTGATCAACCCCGTATAACTTACCCCCATCCCAACCTCAAAGTGTATCCAAATATATTTTGTACTTTGTTTGTATATATATTTTTAAAGATAATTGGTTTGTGTGTGTGTGTGTGTATATATATATTTGAAAATAATAGCAAACATTATTGAAGACTATGAACTAAGTGTTTAATACAGTCACGAAAAGAAGAAAACCAAGTAGATGGACCCGCCTAGGAATTGGTTTGTATATTTAAAAATACTATTAATGAAAAGAATTGAACTCTTAATCTATCAATTAATCTAGCTGGAATAAGACTAATTATGCTAAAGATACTTGATAGATTTTTTTAGTTATATATTTATTACCTAAATTATATAAAGTTATACATTATAAATTTTATGAACTTTATAACCTAATAATATTATAATAACAAAATACAAATATTACACATAAATTATATATATTACTATATTAGTGATATATATACCTCTAATCAATTACACTTATACTACAAATTACAAATTAAAATCTGGTTAATCTAAACCAACATTATGTTTATATGTATACAAGCATACCCATGATATTTTTAAAAAAAAAGTCTAAGTTGTTAACATAAAAGTTAAAGGTTGAAATTTTGAATTATACAAAAATTAGCATAATATATAGTCCACTTACTTGTTGAAGGTAGCAGAGATGGTGTCAAAATTGATGGGATCCTCAACGAAGAACTTCAACTCAGCAGCCCTTTTGGCAGTGCCAAATCTCACAACTGGAGCTCTCGTCATCCCATCTCTGAGCAGCATACTGGTGGCGCCGCCGGAAGCGGCGATAGCCTTGCAACCCCTATTGGTGCTGGCCACAAGGCACCCTTCCGTCGTCCCCATCGGAACCGAGTACTCTCTCCCGTCAAGCAACAGCGGCCCAGCAATTCCCACCGGGATTTGCACGTACCCAACCGGCATCTCACAGCACTGCCCAAGAATGGAGTCGTAATTGAACCCTTCTAGCGGGAGCCCTTCCAGTGATTTCCCGGTGATCCTCTGCAACGCCTCGCGGCGGATGGAGGCGGCGCGTTTACAGTCTCCGAGCTTTGATTCCAGTGAATATGAAGGCGTTTTACCGTCCACGACTGAGTTGATGATCTCCTCGTCGTCCTCGGATGCCGCTGGGGTGATAATGGGAGCTGGTTTCTCGGCGGCGGTTGACTTTGCGGGCTGCTCGGGAACCACTGCAGCAATTTGTCGAGCAGGTGGTGGGGGAGGAACAGAGCAGCCAAGAGTAGTGGCTGCCGGCCACGGCCCACGACGGCTGTCCTCTTCCAAGATGTATTTCTCATTGCTCTCATCGTCGTCCACTTCCCAAAGATCCTGGTTCCCCTTGAAGGTGGACTGAACAAATCCGACCCCAAAGAACCCGAGAAGGTAAATCGCCGAGACGAACAGCCCCGCCATAGCCGCGAGCTCCGACAGAGTCACCACGTGCAGGGGAGTGGAGTTCCGGATCTTCTCCCGCCACCGCTGGAGGAGGAAGTACATGACGGAGAAGAACATGGTGAAGAACACCCCATTGGTGAGGTACAAGGGGAGTGGAAGGGCGTCAGAAGCATTGGGAGGGGGAACTTGGGTTTGGGTAAATCTCTGTTTCTGTTTGTGCGGTTTCAGGGGCTCGTCGGCGGTAGGGTAAAGAGTCTTGTTTGATCTCCGGCGAACGTCCATTCTTGAAAATCCGACAAAATCCCTTCGCTGCGAATACCGATCACTGCGGAATTCGCCGATGGGTTGTTGTCGGATTTGGGTGAGGAAGAAGCGGAGATATTGGAAGAATACTTATAGTAAAAAATGGCGGTTGGCGCGCTACAGTAGCGGCCCATGTGCAGTCAAACATTTTTATTTATTTATTTTAAATTTTTTAGTTATAATGGCTATACGGCTATACCCTTCTTACGTCGTTTTTGGAGAATTTTAATTTGGTTGGAAATTTAGTTAGTCAAGATTGACTGTTGAAGTATACAAAATTGAAGCAGACAGAAAATTGAATTCCAAAACCAGGTGCCCATATTCCCTTCTTTAAATAATTAACCTTTCAAATTTTGTGTGATTAATTTTGATGAAAAATATAATAAGGGGAAATGTAATACTTTTGAATAAAAATGTAATACTTTTACATCAAAATGTAAATGTATTATATTTTTTTTTTTATCAAAAGTATTACATTACTTATAACTTATAAGGAAAAATTTAATGTTTTTTATGAAAATAATAATAATTTTACATAAAAATATAAAAATATTACATTTGTCCTCAAAACTATTAGATTTTCTTTATAAGTAACAAATATTTTATTTCTAATTTAATATTACATTTGATAGTATAAGTATTATATTTACATATTGATCCAACAGACCTATCTCGCGAATAAAAATTAGTGAGATAGTCTCACATATGTGTAAGGGTGTAAATGAGCCGAGCCCCTCGCAAGTCACTTGTGAGCGGCTCGGTCAAAGCTCGGCTCAAGCTCAAGTAACTCGTTTGATAATCGAGCTCGAACTGAGCTTAGATATTCTAGGCTCGTGGCTCGTTGAGCCGCTCGCGAACCGTATAATATATAATATTTATAATATATAATGTAAGATAGTATAATTACAATATATAAAAATAACAATTAAAAAGTTCAAGATCAAGCTCAAACTCAAATTCAAGATCGAGTTCGAGCTCAAACATCAATTCTTGAGCTCATTCAAATTCGAGCTCGAACTTGAGCCGAGCTTCCATTAACGAGCTTGAGCTCATCTCAATTCGTTTACACCCTTACATACGTGTGACTCTTAATTTTCATGCTTAGACAACGTCCGCTTAATTTCATCCTTGCAGCAAACGCCCCGTGAAGGTCAATTGAAGTCAGTATACAAATATGTGAAGACTCCACGTCATCATGTATTGTAAATATCACCATACAAATATAATATTCTCATTTTCCTTTAGTTCTTAATTATTATTTTTGGAGTCTTACACCCTCACACACTCAAAATGTGAAAATTTGAAGGCAATATTGCTCAAAAAAGTATATACTTAATTATTGAGTACTTTTTTTTTTTAATCAGGCCATGAGGTATTCTGAACAAACTCTAATTATAGGAAATATTTTTACACTCGTAGTATACTCAAACTGATCTTTATTTGCACTGCTGGGTCGACCCAATTAAGAGACAAAGTGCTGATTATATTGATTTTTCATACGGGAGGATTGTCATTTTATGATATGAGACTTTGTCATCTCATTATTGCCAATTTATTCATCCAACAACACAATCATATAATCTACCGTAATATCATGTCATGCCAACCTGTCAATATTAATGCCACATTATCGTATAACTTTGCACAAAAAGAAAATTTTAAAATGTTGTAATTGAAATTTTAACCTTTCTTACTTGAATAATTAATAAAAACTTCGGCCATTAAACGGTCTCACGTAATTGTTATCTTTATTTTAATTGATATTAAAATGTATTTAGTAAAATATTTTATTATTTAATATTTATTTTTAAATTGGGAAGAAATTTGTTTATTTATGGCTAACAACAACAACAACAATATCAACTTTGGAGAAGAAACTTGTTTAGAATTAAAATATATTTTAAGATAATATTTTTCAAACTAGTGTTAATATTTTTTTTTATATAAACAAAACAGCAAGTATTTTAATTTTTAACATTCAGTAGATATGTTATTGGTTCTTTGTGTTTAGAGCCAGTAGCATTCAAAAAAAAATGAAAGTTTAATTATTATTAATTACATTTTAAAATCTTCAATTTATTATGATGTAATAACGGGACAAGTGAGTGAGAATACACCACGAAGACAAAAATTATTCATAGGAAATTAAGTTTAACATTACATGACTATTTAAAAAAAAAAGTTTAAATTTATTATTATTTGAAAATAAGTTTTAAAATTACCTTTGTTTTAAAAAAAAAAAAAATGTGTATATCCGATTATCCGTTACTTCGCACAGTAATGAAATGATTGAAGCAAAAAGTCAAATAAATGTTGCTACATAAATATAATTCTGTTTTCTTTTGTAACAAAAAGATGAAATCGTTCACCCCAGACACTCGCACACCTCGGTCTCACAATTTATGGATGGGTAAATTATGGTGACTCAATTAGTCAACAGAGACTAGACTTTTACTCATTACACATAAGGAGTTCCCCTCATTTTGATAGGATAATTGTGTTTTCTTTTAACAACAAAGCACATAGGTACGGTTGCGGATGTTATCCAAATATGTTTTTTTGGGTGAAGTCATCTTTGTGATTATAGTTGACAAATAAGTACAATAAAGTAAATCATCATAGGTTATCCATAACTAACCGGCTTAAACCAAGAAAGCCAATAAAAATATTTTACAGTAAGTCAAATTTGAAATCTTATAATTATTATGTCAATGTCAATTATTCGAACTCTGTAACCTTGTGAACAATATAATTTTGTTTTCTATTTATACTTGAACATAGACAATAGTCTTTTCTACTCAACACTCATCATCCTTTACTCAAATTGAATATATTCCTAATTTGCACATTTTCTTCATAATTTAATTCTTTATTCGATCTGAACTAAAATATATATATAATTTCAAAGATCTTAATTTTATAATAATATATTAAAGCCAGCCAAAAAGAAAAGATAACAATAATATATAGTTGGACTGACCTTGCCTGACTATGAATGCTTGTTGTACAAATTTGAAAAAAATGGCACTGTACTTTTCTTTATACTATTGTCTTGAAACCATATGATTAATTTATTATGGGTTAGTGGGTTACATAATCAGATTACCTTTTTTCCGAATAATCAGAAGTATACGATAAATATTATAATTACTTTGCGTATGCTGCCACTGTTGGACACTTGGACCATTAATCCATTATTGCTGAACAATCTTGACAAAAGGACCTTCAATCAGATACATAACAACTGAAAAAAAAAAAAACAAAAAACAAATTTATAGTATAATGAAATTATTCAACACAAGGCGGCTGGAAAATAAATTAATTTGTATATAACGTTGGGTGGTACGAAATTTAATAATTCAAAAATATTCTTAAAAATTCAATCACGATATACAATAAAAGTAATCCAATGATAGATTACCAACGTATATATTTGAACGCTAAAATATCAATGTTAGCAAATGGAATTCATTGCCAATGTTCGGATGAGCATTTGGTATGCCCAGGTCTCGAGTGTATACGAGTTCAAACTTTTCTAAGTTCATTTTGAGATTTTATTTGAACTTTCATCTCCCTCATTATGTGAGAGAGGATATCTATGTTATATAATTCAAACTCTGATCTTTAAAAAGTTGAATTATATTTATACTAGTGCAAATTCGTATCCCATTGAGTTGGGATTTGGGAATACTTTTAAATACGGAGAGACATTTATCCCAAATTGTGTGAGAGAGAGGTGACATCTATGCTACATAATTCAAACTCTTTAAAATGTTGAATTATATTTATACTAATGCAAACTCACATATGGTCTCTTTCCAATGTTTGATAAATGTTACTTAAAATTAGTGTAACACTTTTATCATGAAACTAGTAAATAATACGGAGTAATTAATAAATATGCATATTTTAGATAATAAAATTTATTTATAAATATGCCCTTATATTTTGATATTTACACTTCTTTCCATGTTTTATTTCTCGTTTTCCGTTTTCTATTTTTTATTTTTCGTTTCTGTGCGACATATGTTTATACTTTCGGTCGACCAAATCAAGAATGCCATTTCTATCCTCGCACGAAATTTTATTGAAAATTAAATGTGGATGAATTGTTAATTTAGCTGCCTAAATTAAAATAACATACCAAGACCTTGTGGTCCCGCAAATTATGCCGTGGAATCGTGTTCACCGAGAATGGTGAACACAAGTCAAAACGACGTCGTTTTTAGGCAAAAAAAAAAAATTCACGGATGTGGAGTTAACGGCGCGTTACTGATCAAATTATGAATTTTCTGTTATGAGATTATGAATTTTCATAAAATTCATAATCTCATAACAGAAAATTCATAATCGCATAACAGAAAATTCATAATCTCATGGTTCCAAAGTGAATGTGTAGGCATGGTTCCAAAGTGAATGTGCAGGCATAGATTCATAATTTATGAATGTCCGTGATTTCGGACGGGAATATGTAGGCATAGTTCCAAAGTGAACGTGCATGCATGAATTCATAATTTATGAATGTCCGAAATTATGAATGTAATGAAAATTCATAATCTCATAACAGAAAATTCATAATCGCATAACAGAAAATTCATAATCTCATAACTGAAAATTCATAATCTCATAACTGAAAATTCATAATCTTATAACAGAAAATTCATAATCCCATGGTTCCAAAGTGAATGTGTAGGCATGGTTCCAAAGTGAATGTGTAGGCAGTCACGTAATTAAAAAAAAAAAAAAAAAAAAAAAAAAAGATAACGGTGTACTAACACCGTTGGAACCGTGTTCACCATTCATGGTGAACACGGTTCCATGGCATAACGTCTGTTGTGGTCCAATGATATTCGGTTGTTCCCACTTAGGTGATAGGTTCGAGCCTCAATGGAGGCAAGTAGTAATTTGGGTGTCCCCATTTCCTTGTAAAAAAAAAAAATTTAAAATAACATAGTATGTACAGTGTTCTATGCATGAAGTGCATGCACCTGATACCTCAGCAGTATATATTTTACTTCTGTGCTGCGTTTAATGATATTGTTGACGACTTTGGTAAAGAATAGGATGGTTGTG